GGTTCTGATACCAAAGATCCCATCTCCAAAGCCCAGATTTTTGGTGACTTACAGACCATACCTTTAGGTTTTAGTTTGCCAATACCAGTATTATTCAGTTCTTCAGTACTGTCCATACAGTTGCATGGGGTATTTAGTACAGATACTTCAATCCAATAGACTAATGTGCTACTGAAATGAAGTATGAGTACACTGCAGTATGGTTTAGGATTGGAATCAATTTTTTTTTTAAATTCTCACAGGATATACCAGTGTTTAGCACTTCAAGGGAATCTGTACTTAAACAACAGAAATACAATCTCTGTAGACAGATGTCCGGTTAAAAGGGCTGGGGGCTGCAGTAAATCTCACTTGAAAAGCTTGATGAGGATGCAGGGTTACAAGAAAGAGTTTATAACTTTTTGCTTTTAAATAGTCTTGTAGCTGGAAGGACTCATTTACTGTCATTTACTGTCACCACCACTATTACAGGGCAAGTTTCAAGAGTGTGATCAGTATGTGATATCCAGCAGTCCCCACACCCACTCAAATGTACCTCTGAAAACTAAATTTGAACATACCTGATCAATTTCATATTTACTCTACAAGTTAAAAACTTATCATGCCCTTAAAAGCATGATGAAGACCACTCAATACAAATAGCACGTCTTAGAAAAAGGGGCTACCACCAAGTCATCAGGAACAGCATTTTCAGACATATAAACAGAAATCAATAATGTTACAGCAATTTAGCCGTCTGCCTCTAAATCAAAGCTACTGCTTTTCAAGTAATTCAGTCGATTTCAATTGTATGAAGTCCATCCAGTATAGATATTTTTTAAAGATATTCTGAAAGCCTTCCAAAGAGAAATGCTTAAAGGGATTCTATTTCAGCTTGTTAGCTTTCTTTCAGATTTCAAGCTACAGTAAAACCTCTGGACATCAACATTTAAGCCATGAGACCAAATTTTAAAACCGATTACTACTATTGCAGTGCTGGTATCTAGGTGCAAAATTTATTCGCCCAAACTCACCTTCACTCAAACAGCATAAGGCACTGAAACAAGCATTTGTTATGGAGTTAGGTTTTTGCACAGTTAGCTTTAATTGCCTGTATTAGAAAAATAAGCACTGAAATATATAAATATGGTTACATTAAAGTAGTATTGTAGTCTAACAAACTAGAAACTGAGACCCAGTCATATTTCTAATGATACAGAGTAGCAAGATTTGGGTTTTAGGAAGTCTTAAGAAAGAATTTGATCAGGAGAGGCAATATCATTAAGACGACCACGGTAAAGACAAAACAAATTTGCACATTGCAATAAAAACTAAGTAGATCAATTTATTATGTATACTATACAATGTGTATGTTTTTAAGGAGCAATCAACATTTTATTCCCTTAACATCTTGACTGGGTGTAAGGAATATGTCCAACAAAACAGTACTCCTGGGGCCTTTGCACAGACACTGTCCTACTATATCATGAACAATGAGAAGGAAGCCTTCGGTCTACAGGTTTGGGGGACATACCTCTGAAGCTGCAATTAATCCACTTGTGACTATTTCAAAACGTTGGTGCTACTTGCTATTAAAAGCCAATGTTAGTACTACTCTAGCTATTAATTACCATCTACCCTTAAAGGCAAGATATGAAAGGGACTGCCAGACTACAGTGCAGATAGGTCTTCTCTGAAAAAGGTCATTTATCAAATGGTAAAACTCATATTATACATTATGTACACAAGTTTGGATAGCTTGGTTATTCTGCAGGAGTAAGCTGAAAGTAGGTGTAGATTCACAGTCAAGTTTGATTTGCTGTAAAATCATTATTGGGCTTAATCATTTAATGTCTTAAACAGCATATATAATCAAACTAACTGCTTGCTGCTGAGGTTTTCAATACAAAGGCTCAAAATCAGTAACTGACCTGGTCATAGTAATACAGTACACTTCAAATATACATTTCTCATGGATCATGTATTTATATTGGAATTTGTAACAAACTTAAAACCCCGCAAGCCACTGAATGGACATCAGAAGAATTTGTCGTCTAATCAGTGTATTAAACTAGTTGTAGCTGAGTGATTGGAATGTTTAAAATTTAAATGGAATTTTTACCTTCCTAAATGTCAAGAGAACTCAACCTACTGTGAATGTTAGTGTAGTGACACCAGACATTACACACACACACACAATCACATTCAAAATGTAAGAAGCTTGTTTCAGACCAAATCCTACCAATAAGTCTTGCTTTTCATTTACACATACAAAAATAAAGAAGGATTTTCACATTAGGATAAACATCTATAAAAACCAATTGAATTCAATATATCCATTTTCCTTGCTATTTTGGTATAGATTTCTTTTGATAAGATTTCTCTCTTTTCCCAGCCTAACTTTTTACAGACACAGGGTATCCATGCTCTTCAGTCTGTTCTTATGAAGATATTCACAAGTTCATTAGAAATCTAATAAAAGATAAAGGAAAGCCTGGACTATAGCAAGCACATTCCTAATGAACTACTTGGAAAGGACTACATCGATGCACAAAATATGAACTAATTAGATTTTGCAATTTGGAAGTTCTCTTTTGATATTGGGGGGTAAACTGGCAAAATTATGCAAGTTAAGCCTGCACCACTGCCTTTGTCTATAGCATATTTAAAATTTAGGACATGCATATCTAACATCTCTACTGCTACATCTTGTTATGACAAGAAGCCAGAATTTTCCAGAGGGGGTTAAATAGTCACTACAAGTGCTCAGTGCTCCCAAGAGAAAGAATAAGCTCGTCTGGTTATTATGCATAATTCAAAACAGAGCTGAATTAAAGTTAAACTAAGTTTTGAATGATTATTGTCTGATCCTCAGGTCTGTCTTTGGGAGGGGCTCTGCAGAGACCACAGACCGATCTATTTTTCTTAGTCACTTGGATAACAGCTGTTTTGGCAGATGCCAATACAAAAGAAGGATTTTAAAATGTATGTTTAAAGTATTTTCTCTTATGGTGATTTTTCTGGGGATGGATTTTTTTTTAAATTTTTTATAGAAGTTGTATTAGACCTTTTCTTTTTTAAGAAAACTGAATGAATGGTAACAGCAAGCTATGTAAGATTCTAGTATTCTAAGAGGGGTAGTAAATTCACACTGTGATCCCAAGGACTAAATCACAGCCTTGATATTAATAGTTTTATAGGTACTAACAGCAAAAGCTCCACTTTCATCTAATATACCTGATTCAGCTAAAAATACAAGTTCTGATTTTCTCCTTCCTGAAGTTCCATCTAGTATCAACGTACATGTATATTACCTGTTGTATTCAGTAGTTAGGTCCCCTTATAACCTTCACCATCTACACAAGATGCCAAGCTTATCCTCATTTGCTGGAACGAGAAACTATCACATTTATCAACAGATAGCACATATGATACAAGTTCAGTTCTTGGTATTGCTCAAAGCTGGTTAGGGGTTGCTGTGCAACACAAAGAACTAAGGTTGCCAAAACAAGGAGTTGGCATATCACCACTTCATGATTTCACAAAATATGTTATCATACCCTTTCTCAATTCTAACACTAAAAATATTACAAATACAATTGCATCTAATCACTTAATCCCTAACAAGTTTGGAGTCTGTCATAACAGCCCTAAAGAACTGTAAGTATCTCTGTAATCCACAGAATCCCAGAGTATTTCAACTTTAAAAAGATATAGATTTAAAAGTTTCTGAACAGAAAGGGTGCCTGCCTTTGAATGCCTACAGGAACATATTTCAGATTGCTATACATGAACATCGGAAGTCATTGCTACACAAAATATACAACTGCAAAAAGCATAAGTAAGGTTGACTCAATCAGGTGTCAATATTAAGTGTTTCACAAATCTTGGGTTTACAGGTTTTATCAGTAGCAAGATTCTGAGCACAAAGTTTCAGGCCAAGACTTTCAGATACAGAGTTACTTGTGCTTCTGATTGGCACATTATCTGCTTTTTAAAATGTAAAATTAATAGACATTTGCAAAAGGTTGTGCAAAACTATTGTATTTACAAAAATGGCACAAGAGTGAATTCAACAGTCTATGCACATGCACACTTCATTCACATCTTAAACAAAAATGTGTTCTACGCTACAGAACTGAAAAGAATACCAGCTTCAACAGGCAGTTGTCAATAAGCACTAGGTTCACAAGAGTTACACCAGAATGGGCAAATATTGCCCAAGTAAAAATCTATTGTTAAAGCTGAAACAGGTTTAAGGCCATTCAAGTTCAAGAGCAGATACACAAATTCATTCAGAGCCCTGTCTGTGTTGATACATGCTTTACCTTCTAGTAACTTGTGGTCTAAACCTCTGTTTTAGACAACAAAACCAAACACAGGAGAAAAAGCAACACAACAGGAGGTTATATTAAATACAAACATACTATGCTGTAATTAAGGTGAAATAACAAAAGCAGAAACATTAAAAGTTGTAAAACTTGCTATGTCACTTGCTGGAACCAGTCCTACACTAGGAAATAGGCAATATGTACATTTTCAAGTAGATTACATTGCTCTAACCAAACTTGTCCTTTTTATCAGTGCATTGTTCTTACTAGTCCAAGTACTACACATTTACTCTTAACAGTACTCCCTTACAATAGCAGCATTCACTACCGCTACCTGCAAAAAGCTGTCAGTCTCAACAACTTAGTGTAAAAAAAAAAAAAAAAAAAAAAAAAAAGGGAAAAAAAAAT